CACACACACACACACACACACACACACACACACACACACACACACACACTCCCAACCTCTCCAGCATCATGGTCCTCCTCTGATTCTTCCGGCAGCACACGTTGCACGGGGCCAAGTGGACCGCATCAAGTGGGCACCAATCAGGCAAAACATTCGTGAAGGTGGGGAGAGTTTTCACAACCCTGAGAAGCACAGCGGGAAAAACATTTAGGATTTACACAGTTTCACAAAAGAGGAGCGCGTACCAGAGAATAATTATATTTTCCTTACAGCGTGGGTTTCACGTGTCGCCTGAATATTAGTTGGAGGATCTGGGATGTCCGCATGTAATGATTGCCGGTTGATCTTGTGTCCTCTATGGATTGGGTGAGGGTATTTGTAATGACACAGCACTTAATACAGTGATCTGATTATTTGGTGTGGTCAACTGTTTCTAATAGACAGACGATAAAGAAAGACTGACAACGTAGCCCTGAAAACATCTGTCGGAGACATCCACCAAATCAGTGCAACGCTTTGCCCCTTAAGTCAATTAATATAAAATGAAGCAACATTCACTTGCTCCAGGTTCTCTAATTTGTGTATTTGCTTTTCTTCTTTTTTTATATCATTGCAGATTTATTTCCCTTGAGATTTGGCCTTAAAGTCGTCCTAAAACAAGCATCCTGAAAGCAGGCAAATGAGTATTGAACATGTCACGATCAGAATGGAGGCGTCATCTGATCAGCTCTTCTGATCGGCCTTCATAGAGGCCGCGATCAAACTATTTAGAACAAACATCGGCCGATAAGGGCCAGGCCGCTGACCGATCGGCACACCTTTAACAAAGACCGGATCGAGAAACTTCAGCAGAGCTAACCGAAAAATCAACTTAAATATGTGGTACTTCATCATTTCATCCCGTACCTTTCTTCCGTGGCGGTCTTGCATTCGCTGCACTTGAAGTCCCAGTGAAAGGTCGACCTGAAGAGAGGCTCCACCCACGAGTCCAACTCCAGCAGAAGCGGCAAGGCAAACACCGGAGTTTCCCTCTGACCTGAAAAGAAGCACAAACGCGCAGCAGTTAGAGCACCGTCACGAGTGCCGACAGAAGCTGCGGTTACACTCTCCACTTCAAGGCAATTTTTGAAGAATTTTATCTGTGGATGACTCGTGCTGAATTACAAAGATCACTTGTGTCAGCACACCTGAAATGAATAGTGTGTGTGTGTGTGTCCCGCCTGTATCTGCAGTGTTTGCCGCCTCACTATGCTTTCCCATCCTTTTGTATTTTCAGTGTGAAAGCCAGTGAGCAAGTTTTCCACCTTCATTGAGCCGAGCAATATCTAAGGTTTTCATGTCCGAACACGTTACTGTTTTCAGGTGATAATGGCTGCCTTGGAATCTAAACGGGGATTTGTGCAAAATATCTAAAGCAGGACACATCAAGGTGGTAAAAAAAAACAAAAACAAAAAACATTTTAGGTAATTAAGCACTTCAGCGGTTTGAAAATCTCCGGTGGAGCCTTTGTAATAGTGTATTAGCTATGTGGAAAGAAGACGACCGCACCTTTATATACTTCTTTTAATCTCGGCCAGGAGGATGATGTGATCAGTAGCGTGTGTGTGTGTGTGTGTGTGTGTGTGTGTGTGTGTGTGTGTGTGTGTGTGTGAGTGAGAGTGTGTCTGTCTGTACATGGCTCATCTCGCATTCTTGTAAAATTTTGGGTGTCCAGTTATGGCTGCATGCTGCATAATTTTGCCGTTGTATGAAGTGTATTATACGACGACTTTGAGCCGATTGCTTGCCTTCAAAGCCGCTTGTTTTTTGAGTTTGTTGTTGTTGATTTACGCCGCATTACAGCCCAGTGGTGTCTAGACAGTTGTGGGTTGTATTTATTCAATCACTCAACACAGCAGCGGCCGTTGCAGATACACCTTGGCAGACATCTGCACGTCACCGAGTGCACCATTTGAGTTTTCGCTGCAATCTGTTTGGCAAAAAAAGTGTCATTGGGCAATATGAAACCTAATACTCATGAAGAGAAGGCTCGAGGGGTCCCGGGACACCGTGTTGAGTGTGAAAAACATTCATTCGCACATCTCGCCCTCGCTCAAGGTAGCTTGGCACAATTTGCACATTGCTCCCGAACTAACGTTGGTTTCAGTATCAGTAGCTCTAGAAATACAGTGCAAATACATATTTTATTCCCTTGTCTGTATTCACTTCTTTACTATGTTTTCACTGACTGAGCTTACCCAGCTTGCAATGCAGCTTGGGCTGCAGTCGTTTGAAGACTGACATCCTGAGACACTGCAGGTCTGCATCGGCCTTTTGCAGCACATGATGTGGCACTCTCACAGCGCCATCTACACACAAACAACACACACAAACGCATTGCATTACATTGTAAAAACAAAACAAATATTATTCAGCTGTAAATGAACTTCAAATGCTTTTTAGTCTATGGGAATTGTTCACTGTTGGCAGCCCTATATTTACAGTCAGATGACAGTAAGATATCTGCGCTAGTCCAAAATATTTTCATTTGAAGCAAACATGTCAGGGTTAGTCACAAAAAAAACACAACATTTTCTCATTTAACCCTCGTGTGATCTAGCAATGCAGACGGTTCCAGTTTAATGTGCCCAGATGTGGATGTATCCAAACGTCTGCCAACATCCTGCTGCGATATTTAAATGGTCAATGTTTCAGCACAAACACCTCCATTTTATTGAGGTCGCAGAATAATTCTCATGAATTAATATCTTAAAACCCGGACAACTCAATCCACAACAATCGGCAGGACTAGATAGGTGCAGATGAAACAGGTGATTCGGCTCTTTGAGTGACATTAGGGGTCAAAAATGTGTGTATTTGACAAACAAAAACAGATGCAAAGAGGAAAATAAATATGTCTAACTCTCTGTTCACTATTGCAATGACATTACACTCAACAGGCATCCTGCAGATCATCCGTTTAACTTACCTCTGCCAGTCTGTTGATGGACTCGGATGGAAGCACAAACGTCTTCATATCCTCTCATCAGCTGCCAGACGGACGACTGCTGAGGCTCAGCTTCAGGTTTACACTTTCCCAAGCTCTTACAGTTCACCAAAGCAACAAGCAGTGAGTCCAGCCAACACAGGTTATCGCTGTTCCTCCAAAACGGCCGATCCGGAACAGACACAAGCTCCTCTGACTTCGTCTGAGTGGCAGAGGACAAACCCTCCATTTCTGACTCAATGCCTCCTATGTCCTTACATGCAGCGATGTCTGCAGTCAGTGATTTCTGCTCCGTCATTGCTGTCTGCTCATTGTGCAAAGGCAATAGAGTATTGATTTCAGCTGAATAAATGTCCTCACTTGTGAAAAAGGACTGATTGGAGTCCAGGCTGCGGCATCTGTTCAGCACCTCACGAGGACCCTTTACGGGCCTGAAGTCATCCTCTGCCTCTGGGGCACCGGGAGCACCGCGGTGAGGAGAGAGCGCAGGTTCATCCCCATCAGCGGTCAACAAGGCTTCTGATGAGCACTGCAGGTGTCCAGCTGGTGTCCAGCATGTCGGAGGAGCAAATCCATCTGCACAAACAGTGTTCTCTGGTTCCTTGACCAGAACATCATCATCCTCATATTGTAATGACTCCCGTCCTGCTGTCTCTGCAACTGGAGAACCCCTGTATCCATTCACCTTACCCTCTTCTGTCTCGGGGGCTGCACGGTGGCCATTACTGACGACGTTTACAGCACCATGTGTGTCTGTGTACTGTAGCCCATGGCTGTCACTTGACCGCAGGCGTTTGTGTACGGGTCTAATCAACTCTTCCTTTTCCAGTGCCAAGCCATGCTTTCTTTTGTTCCCAACAGTGGGCTCCACAGGATCCAAGCTAGCCAAAACATCCTCCAGGGACCGGCTGACCAGAGGGAAAAGGCACTATGGAGGAATGGATCGAGAAATTTCAACATGGCAGCTAGAAAAAAAAAGACATTAAATAGACTGTTCAACTGGATGCGTGTGTGTCAGCAGCACTGGGACTAACCTGTGCGTTTGTGCAGAGGGTGACTGACTCCTGGAGGTTGATGCGGTAAGAGCGCAGAGCATAGGTCAAGCCCTTCGAAGTACACCAGGGACAATACTCCAGTGAAGCAGCTCTTTCCTGAACCTTTTATAAAAAATTTTTAAATAAAAAAACAAAAAAAATTAAGATAACAGAAACGTGGTGTTAATTATGACCACAGACCTCGACAAAAAAGGTGATTTTTTTTCCACTCTTTTATAATTAAACCCAAGTTATCAAACAGTTTTACAGAAAATACTGAGCTTGAAAGAATCTACATCTTATTTTTCACCATTCGTGCCCATTAAATCTGAGACATTTTCATCAGATGAATGCCATCTCTTTCAACTCCCCCCTACTGTCACCAGCATTCATTCTTATATCCTTCTAAATCACATTTAAATACTCGTATGTGGACATGCAAAAACAATTAGGAGGGTTTGCTTGATTTACCTTGCAGAATTTGAGCATGCAGGTAAGAGCAAGAACTACTGAAAGTAATTGTAAAGTTTGCATTTTTTTCAACCTTGTTTTCTGCTCATCAAAGCAGTGGGAGGGACAGTTTAGAGAGGACGGAATGAACAAGTGAGGTGAAATTTGATCCATATCAGTATGTATGAAGTACTAATCAAACCGATATATAATACATGTATTCTATGTAGTACAGTTTAAAAAAAAACACATACATGATACAAACACCCTTTGATTCCACACATATGCTTCGAATCTGCCAAATACTTTCGCCTTTTACTACTAAAGATTTCCATTTTGTTTTGGATGGTTTTGATTGGTACTGCCCAGTCACAGTATTTTTTTTCCAAATACAATTCAGCTTTGCGCAAGTGACAACAGTTAGAGGAAAACAAGAGCTCTACTGACTTTTCCCAAATACCCCACCAGTGGTGAGGCCAAAGCCCCCAAACCAGTGTCTTCACCAGTCATCGGCAAACCACTGCTGCTGCTCTTCTGGTCCTCGGCTTTCCAGTACCATTCAAAAGATATTACCATGTCACTGCAACCTGGCTCACCTCCGGAGGAGCTGGGGGAGAACAATACAGCACCAAAGTTACTCAATGGCTGACTTGCACGTGATGTGTGTACATGGAAAAGCACGATGACAGAAATGTGTTAGGCAAGATTTTACTTGTATGCAGTGATAACTTCCACCAAAACCAGGCCCCAGGCTGTTCTCCCCTGCCCATTCACACAACACTAACCTAAAGACAGCTTTCTGATGGCACACGTAGGTCCACCTGGACAGCTACAGTATGTTCTGCCACCTATGGTGAAGCACATGGGGTGTATGTCAGCGTTTTGAGGTCAAAATGTAACGTTACAGCTGACAGCACTGAGTTAAGAGGCTTCTACGAAGGCAGATGCACTTAACTTCCCTACATAATCATGTTAAAAGATGATTAACGACACGTTTCTATTAGCTGGCTGATGCATTACGGCTATTGTGACTTGTGGTGAAACCGGTCAAACACACTGTTGAGATAAACTCGATTCATTAAACTATCAGCCACTGCACTTGGAGGGTAGCATGCTAACATATTAGCCTAAAGCCGAGCATTCATTTCAGCCGTCAGTCTCATTTTCAGTTTGCGTGAATAGAAATGTATACGTACCGATAGAAAATTTAAATTATATCTGATATTATGATGCTGACCGGCGATATCCATCCACCCAGAACTGTATATCTAACTGTATATATGTATTAATCCATGCCTGCGGAGTAGGTCCATGTGCACCCTTTTGCCAGTTCGTGTTAGAAACGTTGGTTTCCGCTCGGCAGCAGTTGTGCAGCACTCTTAGTCTTCCCCCGTCTGACAGAGAAAGGTTCCGTAGGTCCCCACTTGGTGGTTCAGGTGAACTGCAGCAGCCTGTGGTCAAATTATTGTTCATGTTGGGAAGGCGCTGCCCATGAATTCGGGACTAATAATCAGTGCGAGTACATGAACAAGGACGTAATAGAAGATCAATTATCAATATTGCTTGACAGCAATAGATCTAGTTAATTATTTGTATTCATTGTCTTCAAAGGCATCCTTTTAGATATAAACCTGAATGTCATGTTTTGTCTAAAAATGTAACAAGTTAAATTCTAATTCTAATTTTCAATGTACTTTATTAACTATTATTATTAGTAGTTGTAGGCTAGCAGCAGTAGCAGTAGTAGTATTTTCATTATATAATCATTTCCATAATGACATTGCAAGTTTTCTCTTCTGATATTTCATATACAGCCTACTTATTAGATATTTCTATTTTGAAATACTAGCCTGCACAAATGTCTCTTTCATCTTGTCTGTAGTTTACTTATCGGGTTTTATAATTAAGGCTGATTTGTTCATTCTAGAGGTAGAAAGGTGGAGTTGGTTAGGTGGGGGTTATACATACGTCTCTCACTCTGGTTCTAAAACACAGCCAAGTCTCACACATCCTGCCCCAGCCCACACACACATTCACAGACACGCATCAACGTCTCCCTCCACCCAGTCCCGCCTCTCATGCATGTGCCATCCTCCCTTAAGCCCCTCCTGTATCTGCTGCTCTCCTGTCCTCTATTTTCCTCTTGATGACAACATGAATTTGCATATCTTTTCCTGGGAGCGCTCATTAGAATGCATAAACCGGCCGCCTCCATAGCCTCATGAGCAGGCTATAGCTCTCTGCCGTGGCATCTCCAGATGCAAAATGAGACAGCCAGGCAGCATCGCAGGCAGACATGTGGCTCGAGTCTGGGTTGTGATTGGCATTTAGAAGCAGTTCACCCTTCCCTTTCTTAATTCAAGGATAAGGATAAAACTCTGTGTCGGCCATTTTTCTCTTTGTTTCTATATTAGCTGCTAAGCAGATGCATATTTATTAGATAACCATTTCCACATTAAAGGCATGTATAAACAATGCATCCTTTCTTATGCATGTATGCTTATAATATTACCTTGGTACATGATTATTTTTTGCAAATCATGATGACCATGGACAATTTCTTTAATTTAGAACCCCTACCCCTACCACCTCATTTAAGAAAAGCCTTTACAGTCAGATACTTGCATTACATCCACTTTGATTATAGGATAAACAAGTCATATCCAGAGAGGCCCCTTTCACATTATGAACTCATCCTCCTGAAGTTTCTGCAGACTGGCCTGTTAAAAGGACGCCCTTTTCTCTTCTGTTCATGTGTGATAGAGAGTTTAACCTATGGTGGCTCCCTATAGGTCACAAACATTCTACCTACTTAAATGTAAATGTTAAATGTAAACAGAAAAATACACATGCACAATTCTTAAGATATAACCTTATGTTCAGTAACACCAGTGCACAGCAAGGACAATGTAAACGGGGTCAGAGGACTACCACACAATTAATGGGAAAAACACTGATTAAATAAGTTATAATCTTTGTCTGATGGTGGCGCTATAGAGCAAGCTCACAGGGTCATCAAACTCATTACAGTAGTTTTCTTTGAGTAGCATGAATGTGCACATCAAATTGTATTACTGTGTAACCTTCTGTTGTTGATCAGACAAACAAGCAAATTAACAATCTTGATTTAATTGTTCAGGAGCAGCACAACAAAATGAGATTTCAGAGTGTTGTTGAATTTGTATCAGATATGAGAGGAAAACAGGTGGAAAAACTGTGAAACTTTGTGGGATAGGATATAGAATATCTCTCCTGTATTATAATCTGTATTAAATTGTAAAAAAAATGGGACATAGTTGTTCTTAAGTAAAATGATGATCAGTAATTTGGTCCAACACAATGCAATTGCAATTTCATTTAAGCAAATATGAGGTGCTAAAAAAGCCCTGGTTTGTTTACATTATATGTGTAACATTCAATTAGATTCTCCCTGTTGTGTTTTTACAATGTAAGTACTTTAGGGGCTTTAACCACTTAACCGCCCAGAAAAATGTGTCTGGGGTTGGGAGAGAAAAGCCCATTATGAGGCTATCATAAGGACCTGTTGTATCCATGGGACCCGCAAATAGTAAGTTTGAATGTATTGAAAACACCAGCAAACATTATTTAACCCAGTCTAATTGAAATAAATAAATCCTGTGGGCCTAATTGATTGCAAAATTCATTTTTGTTAACTATACTCTGCTATATCTACTGACTTGGGCTCAAACTGCACAGTGTTGCTTTGATCTCCATTAGTTTGTGTTTTAATTGTGGATGAGCACACTATCACTTTTTAATCAGCTACTGTATATGAAGCCTATACAAATTAGGCAAAAAAGACATTGTGCTGAGAAAAATATAAACGAGCCATCCCGAAGCCTAGCAGGCCATATTTAATACAGTTATCGTGATTTGATGCCTGTTGATATATTCCTATATTAGCCTAATCGGGACTACAGGCTCAGAAGCAAACAGCTTGGCTATAGCCCTAAATAAGTGCCTGTTAAAGTAATCATTGTGTATTCTTGTCGGAGAGACTAACGAAACACTGTGTGGTAAAGTCATTCTGAAATGAAAATCCAGGTGTAATTAAAAGGCAATATTGCTATTGTGTTTTCATTCGCAGCCAAATCCTTTAAAATGTCACATCCTGTGCCATATCGAATGAGCTAAACGCGTCTATCGCCTTTAAAACACGAGTACGCGACGCGCACTTTATGCGTTTTTTCTAAGTAATAATTTGCAAATAAACTCACGCGTATTGAGGAGAATGTACAATGGAGCTGGTTGATGAAGAGGGGGACAGTCCATCCAACACACGCGCACATCATTGTACAGCCGCCTCGTTCACTGACTTGAAGCGGCCCCACGTTGTCTCATTCATTTAACTTGCCTACTGTACACTGTGCTCAACGTAGTGAATTCAATACTATGGCAAACACACTACACTACTACCAGCTCCAGCATGCTGGGACAGGAATACTTTTGTATCCACGCGCCTCAGAAAAGTTCGGTGACGTTTCACAAAAGGCAGCCAATGGGTGCTCGTCTTCTATTAGGACAATGAAAACCCTCCGTCCAATAGGAGGAGCTCCAGGCCGGGCGCTGGCCAATCGCGTGAGAGCTCCGCCGAGAGTAATGTTAGAGAGCTGAGGACTGAAGACACTGCGTATCGCCCGTGTTCTCTCACACACAGCCATTGCAGAGCATTGAGATCCAGCCATAGTCCGTTGGTAAGTATCACACACGGAAATTTTAAGTGTTCGTAATGATGATAATGACGATAACATGTAAAAATATCGTACTCATGTGTTTGCTATGATCGACTACGAGGCCTCTTAAAGCTCGAAAATGATTTTTATTGCGGTGAAACGTGAAAAAAAACACAAAAAAATAACCAGTTCTAAGCAGGTAACGTTACCCAGCCTGGGAGTGTAGACCAGACGCTCTTTAAAAAAAAAAGGACGAAATTAATATTAACCTTGACTAAAATCGACGAAAACTGTCGATTTTGTTGAATACAAATAATTTTGTATATTACTGTCGTATCGTTTTCACAAAATGGAGACGAAGCAAACGGTGGATATCGCGTAAGAATTGAAAAATGTCTAGCGGACGACACGGTTAACGACAATGGTAGAAGACATAGCCATTGCAGTGCATTGCGAAGATGAACGCCTGTCAAGTGAAGACTGAGAAGCGTGCGAGTTTTTTTTATCCGAACATTAACAAATTTCAAAAACATAAGAAAAAGAAAGACCGGCTCTAAACATACGCGGTCATGTGCTTTGTTTGCTAAAATTCACCGGAGGAGATGGCGAAAAAATTACCTCGCGAGCTGCGCTTTTTACTGTAATGGCTGACTGTATTCGCATTGGAAGCAGAGCAGCGAGGCTAGTGACAGAGAGGCGCAGTTTAGCTCAACTTTTTCCAACCGTGTTTTCTCGCGAAACAAACCGGCAACTATAAAATGTAACGACGGTAAATTAAAGATCAACCTTTCGTCGTTCCAACGACGCCATTGCGGTATTTTTCCGACGCTTTTAAGTCGTTTAAATCGCGGGTTGAAACGAAGCGGTTTGCCGCGGTCGCTCTGCCCTCTATTGCATTGGCGCTGACACAAAGAGAAGGAGCCATATTCTCCATGTTAGTGGATGAAGACGAGCGGCCATTAGGAGCTCATAGAAACCAAGGCAGTAGCCCCGCTCATAGACACAGTGCAGACCCAATGTATTACTATACAAACCGGCTAGTGCAATGGAAATCCATCGGGGGAAATATTTTGTCAAGATCGCCGGCTTTCCAGACATATTTCTCGCGTTGCAAAGCGAACTGAAGGGCGGGAGGAGACATTTGAGGGGGACTTTCTTTCATGAAGAAGGCATTCTCACAAAATGGAAGAAGAAATATTGCCGTCGTTGTTGACCTCCTTTTCCACAACGAAAGCCTATGCGCCATTACTACACTTCGGTCGACACAGCTGAACTGGGAGTTTACAGTGGCGTTTAACGGGTGAATGTACAGGAGAATTTAAGCAGTTTTAAACACATTGCCAAGACCAGCAGCATTATTTACAGAATAAGAGAATATGAAGACTGAAGAAGAAGATTGTCAACTGATATTTTTTTTAGCATTTGGAAGTGTTGTATTTTCAATAAATACGCATTATTGTGCAATTTGTGTCTTTTTTTGTGTCAAAGTTTATTATGTTTGATAAAACACGAACATGGATGAAACAAGGGGATTTCCAGAATACCTATTATTGCAGATGAGATTTAAGGATATGTGTGTGTGTATATATATATACATACATGTATACATATATATTTTGTTTTTTCGAAATATAGATCCAGGTCCACTGTTGACGTCCCACGGAGGGCTACGGTTAAATGCAGTTACACTTGGGGGAACTTTTTGCAGTTTATTGTGAAAGTCGATCGCTTCATTTGAAGACAATACATCTATTTATGGGTGTTTATGTGATTCTTCTCTAATCCGTAGCGATGTATTGAACCAGTTTTTAAGAGTTTGACCAAGGACCACTCGGAGCCACCGCTCAGACTGCATCAATATTTAAAGTCATTTTCGTCGCGTTCGTGTGTGCCGGACCGGACCGCTCCGGTTCAGCTGTTTCAGCGGCTCCTTAACTTCGTGCCGTTTGACAGCAAGAGGGCGGGTCACTGAAGTAGCGCCATCAACACTAGTGGGGAGAAATCAAAGATGTTTACAGTGTATAACACCAGTAACATGGTTGAGGGTATACTTTGCCTGCTATATAGAATTATGGTATTAAAATATAATTTATAAAAGCATACTTTTGCCATTTACATATATATATATATATATATATTTTTTTTTTTAGGTTTAAAGCTAGGATATATAAGTTGCTAAACTAAACGGTTTTGTTTTGTTTTATATAGATACTGCCGTCAAGATGGTGAGAGAGCCAGGAAAGCCCAGGGGCAAGATGTCCTCCTATGCATATTTTGTCCAGACCTGTCGGGAGGAGCACAAGAAGAAACACCCCGAGGCTTCTGTTAACTTTTCGGAGTTCTCCAAGAAGTGCTCCGAGCGATGGAAGGTAGGCTTGATGGTGATCTAATGGCCTAAGTAGTCAGTTGCTGAAATTCCAAGTTTTATTCTTGGGGATTGACTAATATGCCGCTTTTAAGTGGTGTACAATAAGATAATTTGGGTTCAGGATGTTGGATAATTTTACAGGGCTTGATTAGTTGCACATAAGAAAGATATTGCAGCCACTTATTATTGCAGAAGGAATACCCTGAATACTGTTCAACGGGTGTTGCCACAGAGGGTAAAGTCAGCATGTTACTTCTCTCTTTTTCTCCAGCCGATGACTCTTAAGGAGAAAGGCAAGTTTGAGGACCTGGCCAAGCAGGACAAGGTCCGCTATGAGAGGGAGATGATGAGCTACGTTCCACCCAGGGGATCCAGGACTAAGAAGTTCAAGGACCCCAATGCTCCCAAGAGACCCCCGTAAGTACTACAAATCAAGTCTGAATCATGAGCAGTTGACTTATGTTGTAAAGACACAATATGAAGCATTGTTATACTGTGTAAATGACAAGCCCACTCTTCTTCTTCTTTTCAGATCTGCCTTCTTCGTCTTTTGTGCGGAGTATCGCCCTAAGGTGAAAGGCGAGACTCCTGGTCTGACCATTGGAGATGTTGCCAAGAGGCTGGGCGAGATGTGGAACGGCACCGCTTCAGAGGACAAGAAGCCCTTTGAGAAGAAGGCGGCTAAACTGAAGGAGAAGTATGAGATTGTAAGGACATCGGTTGTATTGATACATTTTTACAAAAGATAATTCACGTTGTGTCGCTCTGCCTTGAGTGCTTTGATTACAAATGGCCGCATGAGTTCAATATCTTGCCTTCTCTCTGTCGCAGGACGTTGCAGCGTACCGCGCTAAGACCAAACCAGGCGCCGCCGGGGCAGCAGCGGCAGCATCAAAAGCCCCGGCCAAGGTAGAGAAGAAGGTGGAAAACGATGATGACGACGATGACGAGGACGACGACGATTTTGATGATGATGATGACTAGTAGCTGGCGGGTGACATATGTAGTGGTCATGTTCTTGTTTATAAAGCATTTAAACCCCCTTGTACACACTTCACGTACTGAAAGAAAATATGTTAGTATCCAAGGGGTAGTAAAAAAAGCAACAAAAAAGGCTGTGTATATCAGTTGTTTTTATGCTGTACAGTTTTGTTTTTTTCTCCTTTTTGTAGAGTTGACAGTACACAAGTAGCGTGTCTGTATCTTTCTGCCAGTCTTATTTTTTTCAGTGATAGTTCCTAGACCACTATTCTGCCTGGTTCAGTGTAAAGGGGTGGGCTTGCAGTATTTAGCCTAGCTTGAGGTGCACAGCACATAAAAAAACAGTCTGACTTAGATCTGAGTGTTTCTTCTTTTTTTTGTTTCCCCTTTTCCTGTGTGTTTTTATTTGAAATGACATGTTATCAAAATTGACGTATCACAGTTGTTTTACTGATCTTTATGTACCACTGTAATAGCAAGAATAAGAAAAAAACAGCTTGTTTGTTGTTGGAATTTAAATTGCTTCTGATGTCAATAAACCTTTTTTTTTTTTTTTTAATGTGTTTTGAATTGTGTGTGTGTGTGGGGGGAGGGTGTCTTATAAGGTCTTGCTCATGTTTCCTCCTCCAAAAATTAAATGTCTTGATCAGAGCAGACTCATTTAAATAAACATTAATACTATAACATGCCTGGTGTGTCAACAGTGGTGAGATAAACAGCAGCTTTATCAAAACGCCTGCTTTGTACACTGGAATGCAAACGATTGAACATAATTGATGATTAATATCACACAAGTCTGCCACTGATAATCCTCTGTAAGGCAGACGAATAATGAACTATTTCTGGAGGGGAGTCTTTTATGTTAACTTGCTTTGCCATCTACTCGGTAAAGAAACATTGAGAAGACTGATGCTGGGAGACAATTGAATACGACTGATAAGCTGTGCCTATGAAGTATGACTCCTCGCCAAAACACTATCGTGTGCTTTAGCCTGCTGAGGATGCAAACGAGCAGTACGTTATTGAAGCTCCTTGGCCTGCTGGAGGTACACTAAAAGTTAAAGCATGATCGCTCTGCATGTCTACATGCATCGCTGACTGATACTGTTTTATTTAGATACAGCTGCTTCATCTGTCACGTACTCCTATCTAGGGTATAAAAAAAAAAGACCATTTATATAAGACGGATTATGTGCTTTGAAAAAAACAGACAAGAATATGGTGTACAAACCACCGCAGTCCTTACCTAAAAGGCACACACTCACATATTGTACATTGTGGTGTCAACAACCCCCCCCTCCATGGGGGAGAGCATAACAAGGGTTACCAACCCTCAGCCTGAGCATAGAAATGAGCACAGACATGTCTCGGCTCTGGTGTAAACTAAAAAGGATGGGTCTTCTTCTGTGCTGCATATCTGCTCAGTCGGAGCACCAATATCAGCCTTGGCCCACTCACTGAGCCTTGGTATACGAGGTAGGCTAGAGGACAGGCAGACACAGGGCAGCAGCTGACCTCTGCACTGCTGACAAAAGCCCAGCCGGTCCATGAAGGTGACATAGCCTCTTGCTATCCCTGAGCATTCCTCACACTCACTGATGATGCTTGCTTTCCCCTGTTAAAATGTGAATCCAGCGGATGGTGACAGCTATGGTGAAATAACTTAACCCCACCCCCAAGCTTGAGTCACATCATGGATGTGTTGTCTACATGTGAAAAACAGGAAAGCTGTGCGGAAAACTCACTGGAGGCAAACGTGTACAATTACCAAACATGTGACAACTGCAAGCTGCTGCCACTGCTGATTATTGTTTCCCCACTGTTACTGCGTGCACTGTGCAGAAAGGCCTGCCTACAGCCACAACAGATTGAAGGAGGCAGTTATATTGGTGAATGTTTACACTCACACCCACTGACTTGGCCAACAGATTCCATGCAGCAGAGGATCAGGCAGGGAAAAAAGGGGGAACTATGCTGGAACAGTTGCAGCGCCTCGTGGCTGCTCTCAGCTGTTGATCAGTGTCTGTGTAGGCCTGCCAGAAGTATAGCAAGGTTAGCTACACAGCGCCACTGCCGGCTCCAAAGCCTGTTAATCCCAGCCACCTGGTGCCCACTGCGTTCAATCAGCGGTCTCCGGTGACACCTAGTGGTCGCATTGCTGCAACTGCATCAACACTGGTGCTGCAATCCATCACGAGGGGTGAGATCAGAGGTGTTTAGCCAATTTTCAATCCACATTCGACTTGAATGGCAGGTTAATAATCGGTCGTCAGTGGAAGAAGGATTGAGATTTCTTTCTTAAACATAGTAGGGATTACTATGTAACAAGTGATGCTGGAGTTTTGACCTCTTCATCCAAAAGAAGCAACACTAGACTATAAAAATAACCAATTATACCAAAGTAAAGAACATGTACATCAACATTGTACATGTTCATTGAGTAAATGTACTTTAGTTATTTTTTCCGGTCATTTATTTACAATGCAACAAATTGACCATACATCATATAAAAAAATAAAGAAAAATCGTAATATTCTCTGGACAAAAAACAACAACAAAAAGCTGTAGGCCGAAGCATGACCCCTAATACTTCACAAAACAATACCCTAACAATACCCAAAATAGCAGTGAAACCTAAAAAACAAAAATAATAACATCATAATTCAGAAGTATAGTATAAATAAAATATAGTTAAGAAACACAAATATAGTTAAGAAACATCATCATTAAACCAGAGACAGTCCATTTCTGTCACTTCTCCGTGTTGGTCACACATTTTATATCCTTTGTTTTATTCCATAAATTGACCCTTTCACTGTCACACACTTATTTTTCCCCATTTGTCCTCACCATCTTATATATATTTTTTTCATATAATACATGTCATTTTAAAAATAATTTATGAATCTGCACAAATGTGAAAGTACTCACTATATTAAGTAAAACATTGCAAAAACTAGACATAAAAATAACTTTTCTAAATCAACACATCTGTGACGACCTTGTCTGCCTGTCCGTTTGGCTGCTCTCCTTGCAGGTGGGTGTGGCAGAGGGTCGTCAGCAGAGTGGAAACACCTGAGGCCCAGTAGTATTCATTTCCAATTGTGCTCTGCCACATTATCTAATGAGCACCCACCCTAAAGCATTCCTGCCTATCTGATTCTGTCTGCCTGAACCCCTGCTCCTGGATTGATGGTTGCCCGTCTGCACCCTTGCATCGTTAAATCAGGCTTTTTGATTGATCTCCTGGCTTTGACCTCTGACAGGTTCCCTTCTTGATTAGTTGATGCAGCCTGTGGCTCTATTATTAGAAAATGTTATTTTATGTTAAGAAGTTGCCCGACAAATGTCCATGACTGACATGGAATGCAACTTTTTATTTCACATAAGATTTTTTTTTTTTTTCTGTTCCCACATGTGGGAAACTGTGCATTAGACAAAACTTAGTTTGGCTCCAGGTGAGTGATTTATTACTAAAATGCACAAAGGCTCAGTTTGTAAGAGCAGAGCCCTGACGTCTGAGACAAGACCAAGGCACTGTGCTGATCAGTCACCCCCTGAGAAACCAGACCTAATGATAGTCATTTCTACTCAACAGCAAATCTGTGGAAAACAACCACTTTTCTCAACAGGCATTTTGCACAGCCAGGAGTCTGCAGCCAGCATAAGAAGCCCATCATAGCCCCGAGTCTGAGGTTGTGTTCACTGAAGTGAGCATATCAAGCCTCTGCAGAAGACTGCCAGAATGCTTTGATTAATTGCTTTTTTTCTGGATGAGAGAAGAGACATCCCATAAGGATTGTGATTCAGTGATTTTTTTTTTTTTTTTTTTTTTTGTTTTTTCTTTTTCTTATCTTTTTCTTTTCTATTGAACGGTCTTGTTTTATTTAATACTGATATGTGTGTGTAGGACCATTGTAAAAATCAAATCAAATGTGTTATGTTAACAGTATAATTTTAAGGTGTGAAGTGGGTTTTAAATTTATATTTTACACAAAGAGCATGCCTGCAAACTGACGAAGGCGAAGAAAATGTGAAATATGTTTTTTTTTTTTCACCAATAATATTGAATATTTGCAAACTTTTTATGCACTGTCAAATTTTAGCTTGGTAGTTATTCACCTGATGTCAGTTTGGTCATTCATTTAAAAAAGTAGACTTACAGTATATATTTACTTTACTTATTCTAAGTGTTGTATATTTGAGTAAACAGGACATCAGGATGTGACTCAATGGAAGCCCAACACAATAGCACACACAGACACATATTTAACTTAACTTAAGGTCTCAGTGCTCATGTGATTCGACTTCTTTTTCCTGGGTTAGGGGACAATCATATTATTGAGACCACGCCTCTCCTGGGGGGCAACACCCTGGAAATGATTCATGTCATATACTTGAAATATCAGTTCTCCAAAGTTCATACATGTATTATGTAAGGATGTTAAGGTTAGGTTAAACGTTAGAATTAGGCTGGTAGAGCCTATGGTTAAGGTAAGTCTCCAGGAAATGAATGCAAGTCGAAATAATGTGCCCAAAAGTCATGAAAACATTGTGTGTGCCATAAATATCTCCAAATAAGAAAGCATTTTAGTCGTTACTGCTGGCTGCTTCTGAAAGTCAACGTGATTCAAAGTGAGGGACCAATCAGGAGCATTTTCTGAGTACCAGCCTCCCTCTGCACCAATCACGTGAGGGCTGACTTCCTCAGGCCTGGAGCAGGAGGGTCCACGCTGTCCAAGTTAAGAAAACTTTAAATTTTTTATTTGACAGTGTCTTGCATGAGGAATTATTTCTTTATAGCGTGAACATGCTGATCTGATTGAAGCAGCGTTTTGAAGATGGTTTGCACCATTTCTCACTCACTGCCTAAAAGGTAAATCCAGCCTCGTGTGCAGTTATGAGGGACAGGAGGCAACAAGCTCAGAGCAACATCTTTAGTGAACATATAATTATAGGTGGTAACACTTAAAGACTGGATGAATAAAGAACTGGGAAAACCTGTCTCCTGTAATTTAAGGCAAAATAACAGTGCCCTGCAGATTTACATTTTAATGACTCGGCTTTCCATAATAAGAACGGAGGTGTTCGGTGTTTGTGGCACAATCATTTGACAGCTCTCAATGGTTGTGCTCCAGCAACTTAATGTACAACTCAACGTGGACAAGCCTTCTTTTTGTCTGACGTCATCAAACAATGAAACCCATGGCTTTGAAAATGAGGCTCTTCACATTTTTCAGAGTTGAAACACATTAAGCACCAATTGAAAGTACAGCTACAAAGACAGAGTTGAGCCAGCAAACTAAGCATTAACAACCTACAGTCCTCTGCTGGCTTTAAATGTTGAAAAATACCAATAATTCAGGAAAGATTCAGGCATTGTAAGGTTTAAATGAAGTTTGACAACATAAATAAATAGAGAAGTCCTTTTTTTACAAATTCAAAGAGACAAGATCACATTACTCATATCTTGTCTTTTTTGATTGTCAGTTTTAGGGTTGATTGATTTTCATATTTTTCTGAACATCTAATGGGAATTGCTGCTCCTCTACATACTAACACACTGTTGCCTCAGAGCAGGGGCGTCGTTAGGCCTATTTTAGGGGGGCTGAAGCCTCGGGAAAGGCAATTCAGAGAGAGATCCCCTCTCCTAGGACGGCTGGGTGTGCTACACGTTCTCCTTC